GGCCTCGAATCTCACTCTCATGCAGACGATTGCTGTCAAACGCGTCAAATTGCATTTTTAGCCGCAATTCATTCTTCTATAAAATTTTTATTTGACAACATTAAAGATCTGGGCCCAGCGTGACAAAACATTACAAGAAATCATCGCATTCACGGACAAAAGAAAATCTTTAAGTTATTTAGATCAAGAAAGCAGTTTGGAGTAAATTAAAGAACCTTAAACCCCTCTTTAGCCGCAATAAAGAGCTTCACGTTCCAAAAGAGCAAGCAGCATTTTGGCTTGAGGTGGAAGTCGTGTGCTGCCTACCGACTCCCTTTTTTTGAACCGGAGGAGGAGGTCGATCGGTCGTCATCTCCCACACCCACAAAGGCTTCTTTTGTCTCGACTGATGATCGCTGAAACGTGAACAAAAATTCAAAAGTTGAGTTGAAAATACAGCTATTTCGAGAAAGGTTGTCAGAAAAATATGTACGCGACAATCCTGAAAGGTGATACGGGATCAATACACTGTTCCTAACGACTGTAGCTGTCAAACCTACCTCTGTTGCTTTCCTTTAGCACTCGCAAACATATCTCCGTGGCCTCCCGTGCCATTCTTTCAAATGTATTTGAAGAACAGTGCACTGAAGATTACCCACAATACCTTTTGCAATTGTCGAGAGCACGTTTTCCGACAACCTTTCTCGAAATAGCTGTGTACGAAGTTGAGTTTGAAATATTACGCGGTGACTGGAGAAATGCGCCGAGTGAGTATCGAGTGCAAAGTTCGCATCTCAGTCAAATGTAGAGTACTGGTTCAGGCATCAAAAGTGATAAAAAGAAGCAGAGTGTAAAAGTTTGTTCGTCGAGTTGAAAATTGAATGGTTTGACTTATGTGTGATTTGACAAAGCTAGTTGAAAATGTACAGCGAGCAAGGTCAAATAAAAAAGTTGAGTTCAGAAGCTAAAAGGCAAGGGTATAATTGTTTTCCAACGATGGAAAAAAGTGTAAAATCTTGAATTCAGCCGTAAAATTCAAGTGTTGAAGTTCAAACCATGAATTTTGGCGGGGATTGTGCTTCATAGAAACCAACATTATTCCCAACGACGCCTTTAGGACTTGCAGAACCAGCGGCCGATCTAAGAACAACGCTATTGGACATAATAACAAGAGGAGTTATTATAACATTATCATCAGTTTTGTCGTCCGATGTAGATGACACAACGGGAGTATCGCAGATAATCTGCCAGAAGTGCCAGAGGTTTTTCTTTCTCTCCACGCCGCTTAGCTCAGTCGGTAGAGTGCTTGACTAAAGAGCGGGAGATCGCGGGTTCGATTCCTGGGGCCGGACCAATACTCAGGGCCTTAAAATAACTAAGCCATGGCGGTACTCTCTTTGCACTGCCAATGGCTGGACCTTCGCGTGGCTCGGATGAACGCGTAAATGGCGGTCACCTCTCCAGTAGGAAACGTAAAAAATAGAGTCCCTAATTAATACTTTCGTCAGTGCTAAATAAATTGACACTCAAATAAAGTGCATTTTTGTACAGTACATCATCTTTCATGCTCACACGATCTCCTCCTAATTAAACACGCCTTTACAACCTTACATTATTTTCACTCTTTGGCCTTAAAAGAAAGCGTTTAGCGGTGAAATATAAATAAGAAGAGTCCATGCTTCCTCTTTCAACTTTTCTCCAAACAGACCATGAACCACGGCGAGAAACTGTGCCATTGTAAGGAACTGGCCAGGCAAATGACAATTATTGACGTCGTACGCAAGTGCACATACTATATTCAGGAACACGAATTTCTTTAAAAGGTAATTTTAATGTGTCCTTAATGCAAACATATTATTAAATGAAGGGTGACATTCATTATGGCTTGTGAGAAATGACACAATTATCTTTTTTTTTCTCTCTTGCTAGTGATTAGTGCATTACGAACATCGTTCGTGGTTAGTGAATTCTGATCCTAGTCATTCTCAGTTTTCGAAGCCGTTTATATTGCGGTCCCCATTAGTGCCGATTGGCTGATTTGTTGTCTGACCTTCAAATCTGACACAATAACAGGGTGAAGTTTTTCCTTTTTATGGACAGAGAAGAAGTCCAATAAGAGGCCAATACTCTGATATTTTTTGCTAAACAAGTTTGGTCAATAAACTTTGTTATACGGTCAAGAGGACGTTGTTTTTGCGGGGCTAAATGGAAAAATACCGAGGTAGCATAATAGATCCATTATGTTCACACAGGTAGCAAATCAGATCGCAGGATTCGATTTACCTTTCCCGCTCGACGAGCATACATTTAGGAAACCAAAGACAAAAGAAGATGGTAAGGAAACGTTTCATTAATGAAAAGATGCATGCATAAATGGATTAGGTAGCTTAGACCTCACCCACTTCCATAAACACGACCACTCTGAGGCGCGTTACGTCCCTCATCGGTAGTTCCTCATTAGTAGTCTCAGTAGTGGGGAAGGGACCGGTTAGGCCTTTTCTTTGTGGATTTAATTCACATTTTCAGTGCCATAAATTAACACCGATGACGTCAGACATCTCATTAGGATAGGATGTTGTCATTGTTTATTTTCAGTTGGCGAGGAGCAAGTGACGTTACAATACCCTAGAGGTTGACGTCATCAAAAAATGTTGATAAATTATAAACTATAAATAGAAAAGTGATATCATGTCTCTACTTGCTAATGATGATGTCATAATTTATCCAGAAAAGATGATGTCATGGTTACTTTTAACTAGTGTGGGTCATGTCCTTATTTAGGTATGATATCAAAAGGGCGTAAAAGGGGGTTAGGTGAATGCGAAATCGTACTGATTTTTCGGGCAAAACATGAAAACGAAGTGTGAGCGCAGCGAAAGGTAAAACTGCCTGTCAAACAAAAATGTCAATCTTTGTTTACTTGACTTTAGAAAGTACTGTGCAGGTTATAAAAATTCTATAGAAAGCAACAGGTGGTTCTAAAATAACCCTTACTTTTTGGTTTCTTAAATAATAAAGACACACACACGCCGTAAGAATGGGGATTTATTGGTGGACTCCATTCAAGTACCTAATAAGTGGAACGTCTATTTAAAAGATAGGGATAACGGGAGCGATCACCTAGCAACGCGAGAAACGGCTTATGTCTTCTATTTAGCGTTAAAATAGGATATATAAACAAAACAGACAAAGTGGAGCTGACAACTCTATTTCAATTTTGACTGACTATTAACTTGAACTACTTACAAAACTATTTTGTCCGTTCTATCACGAGGAAACGACTAGCTATTGAAGTCTCAGCCTTTGGTGAGCTTTTGGTCTTGTCAATTCACCGTTAAAGTCAGTTAATTATGCGAGTTAACAAGCTCACAGTTGCAACCTTGACTTATTATTATAAAAACACAAAACAATTAATAACTTAACAAGGATCAATTAAAACACGCGACTAATTAGCGCTAGCAAAAAACCAGACACGAGATACAGTTTTAAAATCTTTATTGAAACCCAATAACCAAAAGATTCAAATAAACAGCGATTTGAAAGGAATGAAAAATTAATCCTTATCTTCGTTCTCCTCTTTAGAAGGGGAATAAAAACTGGTTTCCAACGTCTTCGTGTTTTTGTGTGTTATTGCTCCACATCGTGACACCGAAGAAAGCCCTCAGCTCTTTGATGTAATTTCTCTCCTCGGGTATCTGATGATCGCATACAGGGCTCAAGAGCTCCCATCAATCTTTAATAGTTGCTTCCAATATGCCAAAAACATCTACTCCCTTGCACAACACAAGATATGCTTCTAAAGACAATCTATATAAGACTTGTTTTAGAACAAACACTGGCAAACGAGCAATATCTGCAACGGCAGTAGACCTCTGGCAGGAACTAACCCCTGACTTCAAACGTCATTTGCGGATATATCTTAAAGCTTGAAGTTCATATATATGATCAACAGTTAGAATGTCAAGAAGATTTATTAATGGCAAGGGGCTTTCTGTATTTTTCCCATACAAAGAGGAAAAATATACTATCCTTGAACACAGACGGTGCTATCAATCTCGTATTCTCCTTTTTAAATGTATGAAAGGAAATGGGCCTGTCTATATTTCCGATTTATTCGAACCTCGTATATTGTGTTATAATATTGGGAGCAGTATACAAGATCAAATGCTGCGACTGCCAGGCTTCTTACAATGGTGAAACCGGCAGAAACCTAAGCACGCGACTGACCGAACACAAACGCGCGACGAGGAATGGTGACGTCAACAATCACATTGCTGAGCACCATTTAAAGACGAAACATCAAATTGACTGGGACTCTGCGACATGTATAACACCCCGGGTCAGCTGTCATCAAAAAGTGGTCTCTTTCAAACTAGTTTTTTAATTTTTAATCGTTTGAGCTGAGACTTTGCACGATAATAGAACTTTGCATTCCCAACAATCGTATGTTTTTGGATTTTTTATTTTAACGGTTTTTGGCTCGAAAATGACGTCATAAGATTGACAGCAAAAAATAGTTTTCGACTTATGGGGTAAAAATCTGAAACTTTTAAAAGAACTTACAGAGATGAGCTCAAATGTGAAAAAAGTATTTGTAAAGCTTAATTGGTTGAAAAGTTATTGAGCTGTGAATTTCGTATTTTCCGCCATTTTGTTACTATTTTTAGAAATTTGGTGATCTTTAGAATGTCATATCTTCTTAACCAAATGAGGTTTTCAAAAACTTTTTTCACATTCAAGTTCTTCTCTGAGTACTCTTTCAAACTTGCTAACCTGTTATGGCATAAGTTGAAACTTATATTTTGCTGTCAATCTTATGACGTCATTTTCGCGCCAAAAACCGTTAAAATCAAAAATCCAAAAACATACGATTGTTGGGAAAACAAAGTTCTATTATCGTGCAAAGTCTCAGCTCAAACCGTTAAAAATTGAAAAACTAGTTTGAAAGAGATCACTTTTTGATGACAGCTGACCCGGCGTGTAACGTATTCTTCAGACTTATCAACGTCTTACTTTAGAAA